AAATCCAATCACATGCAAGCAACATTTTTTTTTTTTTTTACACGATTAGTTGATTGAAGTCACCTTCAGCTTATTAAGTCAATTTTCTCTATGCAAAGTGAATTTTCACTTAGTTTAGCAAATATTGTAAAGTTGCTGACATCATCCATCCAATCATGTGCGAGCAACATTTTTTAAAATTTTCCTTGCACTCGATTGGGTGCTTTTTCTAAATTAATTTTTACATTGCTTCACCTTATTAACTTATTAAATCAGGATCAGTGATCAAATGCAGCACGTTTTAACACTGTATAACAATGAGGATATAAAGCTATAATTAAAATAATAATTAAGATAATAATAATAATAAAAAAAAAATATATATATATATATAATGAAAATAAAATACAGCGCTAAACTAGAGTGACACTTTCATAAAATGTTATACTCATCTAGCAGGATTGGACCGTTCTGTAACAGCAACTGTTATATTTTAAACATTGCAGTCCCAGTAAAGTCCAGTGCCAGGCACAAGGCAAGGTAAAATGCAATAACCCATCGCAACCATCCAAAATTCGCTTGTGAATTGTGGTACACTGAATTCCGATTGGCTGCCAGGAGTTAGTAGTCGTTAAACATCATCGCTGTGCTTTTGAACGGTTTACAGAATAAGCCCGCTAGCATGATCTCGATAAAGGCACGCACCTGATGACCAGGCGTTGGGATGATCTGGAAGTGGAGCAGAGCGAAAACAGTGGTGGCCACCAGTAAGAGGACGAAGGAGCAGACGCTGAGCCATTGGAAGCAGGAGAAGTTGCTCCTGGGAGCTGTTGGTGGCTGCAGAAGAGGCACCTCGGTTTGTACTTGGGTCAGTTCCATCTTTCTCTCCTAGTTTGATATATTTTCTTCTGCTGTGTTCTCTCTGATGTCCACTTTTCTGTGGATTGTTTGTGCTTTTTTGTGCTTTCATTTGCTTAGAGCTCAAATATAAAGCCAGCATTTCAGAATTTCCCCGGTGACATCAGGGGAGGGGTGGAAACCTATCGCCCCAGTGCTGTTCAGCCCAACTTGTCTCCTCCTTTGTAGTGGAAAGAGAACTAGGCTCCGTTTTGAAAGAGAAACTTCCTGCAATATTGGAAAAGAAAAGCATTTCTGCTTTTTCTGCATTGTGTCATGTGGAAAGTCAGAATATCTAATCTGCAACAATGGAGACTTGGAAGGCAGTCCAGGGTCAGCACTATGGGGGACTTCTACTTAAAAATCTGGGAGATACAGGCAGCTGTTACTTCAAAAAATGCCAGGTTCCTGGCTGTCTCTGGATTTCATACGTTTTCACCCTATAAAATGTACAATTCAGAATAAACATTTTGCAAAAAAAAAAAAAGTAATAATACTAATAGTAATCACATCTTTGAATTCATGTACAAATTCTCCTAGATTGTAAACTCTAACGAGCAGGTCCCTCTGTTTCCTCTTGTACCAAATTGTATTCTAACTGTAATGTCTACCTTCATTTTGTAAAGCGCTGCGCAAACTGTTGGCGCGATATGAATCCTGTATAATAATAATAATAAATTGGAAGGCAACCAAATACCCTCTCTGCAATGCGGCACCTGTAGGAAATGCTTATGGCTCTTTCTCTAAAATATGTCTGTTTAACCTCTTGCTGACCGCATATCGTATAAAAGTGGTGGCAAAAAAAGTGGGCTTTAACTCTGCTCCTGTCCCATATGTATGGCATATGTCAGCAGCAGGGGGGCTTTTACACACTCTCTCGATTGCAACCAGGGACGGACTGACCATTTGGAAACTCAGGCACTGCCCGAGGGCCCGGGGTCAGTAGGGGGCCCCATGAGGTGCCCCTGATACCTTTTTCATAGGCATTTTTGAGTTTGGGCAAGGACACAGGGGCCCCATGATCCCCTATTGCCCGGGGGCCCCATGAGTTGTCAGTCCGCCCCAGATTGCAACAACACCTGGGAATGCCCATAAATCTGGCACACCGAATGTCCCCTGTCAGATGGAAACATGTTTCCTGTCGACACCTTGTCCTATCCATCCCAGGATCAGCATGACAGCTGCCGCCATATAGAGGGGAGGAAGACCAAAAAAAGCCCTTGTCTCATTAAAGAGAACCTGTCACCTAAAAAAAGTATCACAATCCTATGTGCCCTATGTTAAAAAAAAGTTTAGTGAAAAAACAAAAAATATAATAAATAAAGTTACACCCAAGCACTTAAAATCCCCCCCCCCCCAAAAAAAAAAAATATTTGAGCCCATCCCCACATACTTTTACATACAAACATAAACACACAGGGTGCCTATGCATGAAAACATAGATTGCGCTTTACATGTTACATATCGCTAAAATGAGAGTAATAATTCTAGGTCCATTATACATGGTTATCTCTAAACTGTTGACCTGTAGGGGCTTTTTAAAAAATCGTCTATGGAAAATGTAGGGTATTGAAGTTTATTGCCGTTTCTTGGCCGCATGCAATATTAACCGGCTCCCCTCCACCCTATAGTAGAAATACTGCTACAGGGTGGCATGGGTGCACAAAATCACATATATGTACGTGACTTTGCAGTTTTTTGTTTATAGTGCAAAAAAAATAAACGCAGAGGTGATCAAATACCACCAAAGGAAAGCTCTATTGATGGGAAAAAAAGGACATAAATTTCATTTGGGTGCATCATTGCATGACCGCGCAATTGACAGTTAAAGTAACGCAGCGCCATAACCAAAAAATAGCCTGGTCGGGGGGGGGGGGGGGGGGGGAATCCTCAGGAGGGCAAGTGGTTAAGGCGTGACATGTTGGGTATATATTTACGCAGCATAACCTTATCTTTTATATTTTATCAAAAAATAGATAATATATTGCATTTGTGTGCCCTGATTATACGAGTTGTAAACCTCTAAAAACGAAATCCTGGTGCTGTGAATTTCTTTGCTATGTTCACAAATGTCTCATCTTACTAAAAAACTACAATGCACAGTCTGATCAATGGGCTTCTTTTAATGAGAATATGTACAGCTGTTAACATTTACCGCTGTGTTTTGTTTGCATCATCATTTTGATATATATATATATATATATATATATATACAGTATATATGTATATGTGTGTATGTATATATATATATATATGTATATGTGTGTATACAGTATATATATATATATATATATATATATATATATATATATATGCTGCATATCCTGACCTCATGAAGTGCTGTTTATTAAAGTTCAGTTATTTTAAAGATTAAAAAAAAGACAATAAAATCAGTTTTACACCTATATAAAATTGACACAAAAATGTATGCGCATGTGTTAACATGGTACACAAGATCATAGTTGTGAATGGGTCCGTATCAGGGCCGGACTAACAACTCAAGGGGCCCCCGGGCAATAGGGGATCATGGGGCCCATGTGTTCTTGCCCACACTCAAACCACACCCAAAAAAGCCTATGAAAGGTACCATGGGCATCTCATGGGGCCTCTCATGGGGCCCCCTAGTGACCCCAGCCCTCGGGGTTCCCAAATGGTCAGTCTGCTCCTGGTCCAAATAGTTTCCATTAAGGCAGAGCTGTAATTCACAGTTTGGATGACCAGGTTAACCACTTAAGCTCCAGAAAGTTTTATCCTGTTCATGACCAGGCCATTTTTTGCTATTCGGCACTGGGCTACTTTAACTGGTAATTGCACAATCATGTAAAATTGTACACAAATTAAATGTATATAATTTTTTGCACACACACAGAGCTTTGTTTTGGTGGTATTTGACAACCACTGGGTTTTTTTTGTATTTTTTATGATATGAAAAAGGACTGAACAGTTTGAAAAAAAAAAAATCAATTTTTTTTTTATTTTCTGCTATAAAACATATCCAATAAAAAATTTAAAAAATCATATTTTTTCATAAATTTTTGACAAAATGTACTCTGCTACGTCTTTGGTAAAAAAAAATCTCAATAAGTGTATGTTGTTTGATTTGTGTGAAAGTTATAGCATGTATAAATGATGGTACATATACTGGAATTTTTCTTTCTTTTTTTTTTTTTTTATATCAGTAATGGCGGTGATCAGCGACTTATAGCGGGACTGTAATAGTGCGGAAGGCAATCTGACACTAAATGACATTGGATGGGAACTGACTAACACTGACATCACCATTGACACTAATGCAGTGATCAGTGATAATACTTCACACTGTCACAGTACTAATGACACTGGCTGGGAAGGGGTTAACATCTAGGGGCAATCAATGGGTTAACTGTGCGATTAAAAATGTGCAATGCGTAATGTGTGCTGATTTTACTAAGAGATGTGGTTGTTTTTTCTTCTTGCTTTGCAGGGAGAAAAAAAACAGCCACATCACTGCTTTGTATACAGAGCACTGTGTTGTTAGTAAGCATAGGGCTCTGTACTGTCATTCGGTAAACCGATCAGCAGGTCCCGGCCATAATTCATTCAGTGGTATTTGATCTCCTGTGCAGTTTTTATTTTTTGCGCTAAAGGACCGACAATTTTGAGAAAAAAACAATATTTTGGACTTTTTGCTATTAAACATGTCCAGTAAAAAAATTTAAAAATCAAATTTCGTCATAATTCAGGCCAAAATGTATTCTGCTCCATGTCTTTGTTAAAAATAATCCCAATACGTGTAAATTAATTGGTTTGAGTGAAAGTTATAGCGTTTACAAATGGCGGTATAGATACTGTAATTTTTTTTTATACTAATAATGACTGCGATCATTATAGCGGGACTGTAAGACTGCGGTGGACATTCTGACACTGGGGGGGAACTGACTTGGTGTCACTAACATCCCCAGTGACACCAATACAGTGATCAGTGCTAAAAAAAAAGCACTGACACTGTACTCATGACACTGGGCAGGAAGGGGTTAACAATGAGGGGCTGTCAAATGGTTAACTGTGTGATGGGAGTGTAATCGGCATTCCTCGGAGGGGAACTGATGATCAGTGTTCCCAGGTGATCAGTGTAGCCCCAGCAGTGCCACCTGTCAGTGTCCATCAGTGCCACATCAATGCCACATATCAGTGCCTACCAGTGCACATCAATGCCGCATATCAGTTCCCATCTGAGCTGCCTTTCAGTGTCACCCATCAGTGCCAGTCAGTGCCACCTATCAATGCCAATCAGTGCCACCTATCAGTGCTGCCAGTCAGTGCCGCCTATCAGTGCCAGTCAGTGCCGCCTATCAGTGTGCATCAGTGCCTGTCAGTGCTGCTTATCGGTGCTGCCTAACAGTGCCGCCTATCAGTGCCAGTCAGTGACGCCTATCAATGCCACCTATCAGTGCCGCTTATCAGTGTCATATATGAGTGCTGCCTTTCAGTGCCCATCGGTGATGCCTGTCAATGCCCATCATTGCCACCTACCAGTGCCTCCTCATCAGTGTCCATCAGTGCCACCTATCAGTGTCCATCAGTGCAGCCTATCAGTGCCCATCATTGCGGCCTCATTAGAGCACATCAGTGAAGGAGAAAAATCACTTATTTACTAAATTTTATAACAAAAACTAAGAAAAAACTTCTTTTTTTTTCCAAAATTTTCAGTGGTTTTTGGTCTGTTTAAGAAAAAATAAAAAACCCAGAGGTGATTAAATACCACCAAAATAAAGCTCTATCTGTCACAAAAAAATGATAAAAATTTCATATGGATACAGTGTTGCATGACCTCGCAATTGTTATTCAAAGTGTGACAGCGCTGAAAGCTGGAAATTGGCCTGGGCAGGAAGGGGGTATAAGTGTCCTGTAGGCTGCTGGTTTGAATTGACTTGCCTTAGAGCTTATAAGATATCGTTGACTAGATCATTGGGCCAAGCCCACACATGTGCTTCCCAATCTCTTTCATTCCTACAGATTTCCAGGCATGTGGAGTTATACTTTAACAAAAAAGTTTCAAACAGCAAGAGAAGGGGAGATGAAAGCTACATTCCCTCAGCGTGACCTGCAAAGAAAATTCCTACTTCACATTCAGGAAGCAAAATTTAGGAAGTAAAATCTGTTTCATGATGAAATGAAATGAAGCAAGGGCAAAAAGTCATTAAGGGGACTAAAAAAAAAAAAAAACTTGCATTATATAAACAAAACAGAAAATTAAAGACAAATGGAAGGGGGAATTTTAAACATTGGTAGCAAAATTACAAAATTTAGTTCCACTCTTAAGGTGGGAATACACGATTAGAAAATCGACCGAACGGTAATCCGATGACTGAGAGGCATTCGTTCATCGGTCTAAATCGTGGCCCACATTAAGCATTCGAAAAAAATCGTTCGTCAGGCAATACATAGTGTTGACGTCTTCTGTACAAGTGGAAGTGATGCGGTGTGCGTGTGACCTTGTAGCCACGCCCTTCTGGCCAGAACGAGCGATATACACAACAATTACCAGCAATGAGTATAATATAGTTTATTACATTATCTATATACAGAAATAGTGATACATAAAATCTAATCTGCAGAATTCTGGTTTCATCATCTCATAAAATCTACTTTTAACATTTGGATTTTTCGTTTGTGTTTACGAAGATTACTTGGACATAAACATCTGGGTCATCTTCTGTTTCTGCTCATGTGTCATAGCGCTTGATAGATTTTTTTTTGTACGACCGTCATACCACCACATAGAAAATCGGTCGTTCGTATGCGAAACGACAACATTTTTCACGGTTGTTCAACCGGATTTTTTCATTAGTGGCAGTGCCCATTCACATATATGTGGATTGGATCAGGTTTGAACCTCATCCAATCCGCAGGACATGTGAAATAATATTACTTCCAATGGTGCCTGTTTACAAATGCCCGGTGCAAGGCTGGTGCGGATTCAGTGCGGTTTTAAAAAGAGTCATGAATGTATGTTACCAACAACTGCGCTGAATATATAAACAAGTGATAAACGCCGCTATTAAATAAATAATAACTGTGTATAACCACATAAACTGAGCTGCCACTTTAAAAATAAATAAATCATATAAAAAAAAACCCCCAAAAAACACTTTAACAAGTATTCAAGTGGCGCACAATCAATATTCCATGCAAAAAACAGTACAGTGTATAGAAGTGAATAAAAATATTCCACAAAAAATGTATATATATAATTAAAAGTATTTGTGTATAGTCCAAAAAAAGTCCAAATAATATCAATAAGTCTGTCCAAAAGAAGAACACCACGTGTGCAAAACAAGTGAATAAATATATATATATATGTGTGTGTGTGTGTGTGTGTGTGTGTGTGTGTGTGTGGAGTGCCCCCCTCTCAGGTGTGCACTCACCAGCAAGTATTGCCTCCCACTCTAACCCTAGGTTCACATCTGTGCGGGTGGTGCCTCTGCGGATCCGCACAAAAATCCGTGCAGCCACACCACCCGCGCAGAGAAATGCGGACCCGCGGGCGGGTGCCATTAGTTCTAATGGCACGCCGCCCACACTGGAAAAAGCAACCGTACTGGGAACCGAGGTTCCCGTGTGTGCTGCGTTTTCCAAAGAAGTGCAGGGACTTTTTTCCCTGCGTGTCACGGGCACGGGAGTCCGTTCAAATGAATGGGCTCTCGTGCCCGTGCAAAACATGGCCTACATGGCCGCATAGATGTGAACCAGGGGTCATGGTTGGCAAACTAGGCTTTAACAGACGATCTTCAAGAGATAAATCAGACCACTATGGTATTTCAATCTCCTTCTCTCTTGGAAAAACCAGAATCCCAAGACAGGTACTCTTGCACTCCAGTATTCAAACTTAGGAAGTAAAGATCCAGGACTCCTTTCTCCTCCTAATACTCCATACAAAGAAAACCCCTTCCCATTTCATGCTGTCAGCAATGGCACCACATGGAAGAGAAATGTCACAAAGCCTTTTGTTATTCTGAAAAAAGAGATGGATGTTTGTCTCTGTCCATGTGGAAAGTCAGTGCGGTTTTAAAAAGAGTCATGTCCGATTTCTGAGCAGTAGCTGCAGGTTCAGGTCTGGATTATAGGCTATTGACTTCTATGGGAACCATTCCAAAACCGCATATGTGTGAACAGGATAAGATCCTGAACTAATCCTGTCCTGAACCTGATGTAAACCTGACCTGAACTGCTGAACAACTATTGTATCAATTAGCTGTGAAACCTGAGCTTCAATCCACACCGCATATGTGAATCAGCTCATACGCACATCGACTCTGGCATTTTGGTGCTGGTAGTACGAAAATGTATAATAGAGCAGTAAGCACCCAGGAGCAAATTCCTGGAACACAAGCAGTCTGGGCCTCTGTTCTCCACCCACACTGTGGTCCAAAATGAATGTCGGTTTGACCCCACTAACAAAATAGGAAGTTGAACTAACATTCTTAAAACAAAATTTTTCAAACACAATTCTACTGGTGTATGGTCAGCTTAACTCATGAAGATGACTTAGAAACTGAACCCAGTGGCGTCCCGAGGCAGGTGCGGGGGGTGCGGTCCACTCCGGGTGACACCGACCGCACAGGGCGACCCTGGACCTGCTCCACAAAAAGAAAAGGTAAGTTGTAAAGCAAGCCGATGATCCCCGCAGGATGGATCCGATCCACGATCCATTATGCTCAATCCGCAGATCCATTCTGCGGGGATCGTCAGAGGGGGTGTCACCAACTGTTACCGCACCGTGTGACACCTACCCTAGGGACGCCTCTGACAGAACCCATTATAGTTTTCTTTCCAGCTTGGCACGTACATTGGATGTTTTTCGGGGATTGCTCATATGGTAAAAAGACAATACCTTTTTCAAACTTGTACTCTGTATAGGTAGCAACTGAAATTGAACTAGCTACATGGTGAGGTGGCAAGCTAAAGACTCTACTAAAAGAAGGGGGTACATGGGAACATACCAAAACACAAAATAAACAATTAAATAACTTGCTCTTGGCAGCACAATAGCAAATGCACATTGGTGACTGGTTCTCCTAAAACTTTATCTTAACCCAAAAACAAACCAAAAAATAACAATGCAGATTGATGATTTTTAGATATTTTTGCTGCTTTCATTTCCTTTTTAAAGATTTTTTTCCCCTTTATTTTCAATTGGTAATCTTGCCAGCAACACTCTTCCTGTACTGGGTGCTTTTGCGTGTTATGTTGGCTGCACTGATATATAATATATATAGCTACTTCATGAGATGCTGTGGTTAACCTTCTCTTAATTGGCTTGTATACTCTGATGTGGGTACTCCTATAAATAAGAGAAAGGTGTTGCACTGTACAGAGGTGCCTTAGTGTTGACATGTGGTTTTATATACAGTATGTAGCACTACCCCCTTAGAAGTCGCTAGAAATTTGGGTCTTCCTATAGTCCTGCACAGCCAGGCAACACACATCTTCCACAGACTTGCATTCCAGAGACAGTAAAACAGTCCTTGAGCTTGGGTTTGACGTTTTATTAGGGGAATGTAACTTGGATGGGGTAAGGGGTGTATGGGATGCCCCAAGGAACTGTAAACTGAGGACAACTTCCTGGAAACTATGTACAAGTCTTTACACAGCAAAACTCTTCTTGGGGAGCTCTCCAACCTCTCCTGGTGTACCACCCCAGATCCCCAGATAATCCTCTTCTTATCCAGCTGCCTGAGGGAATCCCTGGGCAAGGGTATCCATTGCCTGCCACTTTACAATGAAACAATCCCGTTTAAGAAGCTAATCAGGTTTCCCACCAGAGTGCTCTTTTCCCTTTAACTGGCCAGGGGGTGTGGGATTACTCGCTCAGTCTCTGTATTGTGAGCTGGTTTAGGTAGAAGGCTGCCTTCAGGAATTCAGCTGGGCTGGCTCCTTTCCTGGCTCTACAGGTGGTCCCCGCTCTTGGGGTTGGTGAGGCTAAGCGATCCTCCTGTCCAAGTCCCAGCCTGTAGGTAGGCCCCTTCCCACTGGGTTGACTCTGAGGAAGAGGCAAGTCCTCGAAACGCATTAGATGTTAGAAGTCCAGGGTTCCCATTGCTGATGGCCACCTAGTGTGGATTGGATAGTGTTGTTCTTTACGATATGCCTTTGACATTTATGTCATTGTGAGTGTGATACCTATTTTTATTATCTCAATAAATGTTTTTTTACGTTAATGCACTAGGCTGGTGCTCCCTCTGTTTGTTTTCTTTGTAACCAGTGCATTTGGACTACCCCAGTTCCTTGAGGGCAGCAAGGAATGCACATTCCAGGACAGATGTAGCCATAGCCCATGCTGAGTCCATCCCCAAGCGCAGGAGTATTTGGGTTTGCTGTTTTTAGAGTGCTATTTTCCCTTTAACTAGTCCAGGGGGTGTAGGATTACTTGCTCAGTCTCTGTCTTATGAGCTGGTTCAGGTAGAAGGCTGCCTTTAGGCCTTCTGTTGGGCTGGCTCCTTTCCTGGCTGTACAAGTGGTCCTTGCTCTGGGGGCTGGTGAGGTTAAGCGATCCTCCTGTCCAAGTCCCAGCCTGTAGGTAAGCCCCTTCCCACTGGACACCCTCCCACGCTCCTGCATCTCAACCTTCCTCACATCTTCCACCCATCTTCCTCCCAATCTCTCCTGCTGCTGAGCAGGCTCAGTCATACTTAAGGGCTGCTATGGTCTTATGCCAGACCTCCTGCTTTGGGATTGG